GTAATTGTTAAAACGATATCCCGTAGCTATAAGTAATATTAAAACGATATCCCGTAGCTATAAATAATTGTTAAAACGATATCCCGTAGCTATAAGTAATTGTTAAAACGATGTCCGTAGCTATAAGTAATATTAAAACGATATCCCGTAGCTATAAGTAATATTAAAACGATATTCCGTAGCTATAAGTAATATTAAAACGATATCCCGTAGCTATAAGTAATATTAAAACGATATCCCGTAGCTATAAGTAATTGTTAAAACTATACCCTTAATTCACAAAATAATCGATGAAGCAATATCCGTCATTCATAACGTAAATAATAAAACAATACCCCATACGAGTAGCAATAGCCGTCATTCATAACGTAAATAATAAAACAACACTCCATATGAGTCTTAATCATCCTAATCTTTTCCCATATTATTTTCACTTGCAATTTTTATTTCGCAAAAAAAAGGGGTAAAAATTTGAACAGGTGCGTTATTCTAGTTAAACAAAATGAAATTATTTTAAGTAATGCCTTAAGAACCAAAGTTTTGTAATTTTGTTAAAACGATATCCCATAGCTATAAGTAATATTAAAACGATCAATGATCAACTGAAAGCTTAAGTATTTTCACTTCCACCAATTACTTTTCTCTTAGCTTGTGTCTCCCGGTGGATCAGCTGTAAGTTTACTGACTTACAATGCTAAAATATGGGATTCGATTCCCAATGTTGACAAAGCCATTGCTAACGGGGAATATATGAAGATACAGAACTATCGCATGGGCCCATATGTATGACTAGTAATTCACTCGTTTGAGGTGTTGAATGAAGGAATCCATCGTTGGTGACAATTTCTCATTTTTTTGTTCGTCTTAGCAAAGAACTCAAAGCGCACGATATTCAGAGATGCTTACTTCTTTCTACAGCACATTAAATATACCATGCATGTCAGGTAGATGAAGAGGCTATATCTGTCTCTCCGTTTACCTGAGGGGAATTGTTTCCAAGACATTTCAAACCTTTGGTGAGTTTGGGGTGTACAGCTGCTGCCTTCAACCGAAGTAGAATGATGTCCACTGATAGCATGGGCGATTGGCAGCACGTGTCTGTTCCAGGCTCTGTAGCCATTTTGTGTATTGGATCATGTTGATAAGCACACAGGGTTTATTTGTTCTTTGGCAAACCTCGTCATAGCTAATGATGTGACCTCGTTTATTAACAGGCTTGACCAGTTCCTTTGACTGTCTTATCTAATGTTTACTAACACCTAACTCAAGAATACCTGTAGATGAAGTTTTACGGAGAAACAAGATGTGTCTAAGTATGGTTTCGTCTTATCTTTTAAACCTATTTCTTATCATTAGACTCTACTGATTCTGTTAGATTTGTGGTCAGGGTCCATGTAAGGGTGTTTATGCACTTTCTGGCGAGATATCTCTGGATTTATGGCTAACGTGACACCATAGCCGCATGAAGAAGTACAACTCTTGGAGATGTTATATTATCATTATAGTTCACTCTGATATTCTGGTGTCCGACACTGTTTATATTCACGTGATATGAAATACTTACACCACTTATATGTACTACCCCTTACATTTATGCCTAATCTGTGATAGCAATGAAATGTTTCTAACCAAAGGGTTACCTTAACTCATTAGTTAGTCATATATTTAAATCTAGCTGATAGACTAGTATGTATAATAAAAACGGCTTTTCAATGTAAGACCATCAACTGGGGAAACATTTGAAAGAAACAAGCATTTCGGATAATTTAAAACTTCATGTACTTTGAATTAGGAAAGTGCGAAGAAAAATTATATATTAAAATGTCATGGTGAAGGAACTAGTCTACTCTATCTTTATGGACATATTGATCTGAAAACTAAGTTAAAGAACATAAAGTATAAAACTAAGCGCCATATATTTCGACACCGACTGTCGCCTTCTCCAATGGCCATTAAAGAATATGACAATCTCTATTGAAACGGCTGGTTTTTGGCTTTAGAATATCTTCTTTGATCTAGTTTTTTTGTGTAATGTGGCCTCATTTTTGTATTAATTATGTTACCTTGTCTCTCAGGATTTTGCTATAGGATATATTAGACACATCTCATATTGGCTTTCAAAGGATCGAGGTTTCTTTTTCTTCGAACTCTGAGGAACTAGAACTCTAGAAAAACCAAGCTATATTAGTCGAGGGAAACACTATACCAGAATTTAATTGAGAGTTTGATGATGTAACTAGGTTTAAATATCATTCTTGCTCAATGTTTGTTTTTAAAATATATGATACTTTAGACTAGCGTTTCTCAACCTTTTTTTGCCCGTTACTCCCTTTTGAGTTGGACTTACCTTTGTGATTCCACCTTTCGTAGACACTGTTACTTAGGAAAAAAGTTACTTTATTTCTACACTGTTGATTTATAATATATTTAGAATATTATTTTTACAATAGTGTATTGTTTTTAAATATTTTGCTTATGACATACTGTTTACTTATACAAGTAAAAATATTCTATTAATCATTGACCTTTTATTCAGTGTGATCCTTGGGCCTGATGAACACTTGAAAGTTTTTAAATGTCCGGTTGCAGTGTGGTCAGTGATAAGCGAAGATTACCTCTCTTCACAACATCAAGGCGGTTACGTATTTTTAATAGCAAATAAGTCACCCGACTAAAACCAGATTCAACCAGCTAAGATTGGGAAAAGCGATAAAATACAACTTTGCCTTCTCCCAGAGCTGTGGAAACGTATTAAGTATTTCACTACTTATCCAGAAATAATGTTTGTCACGTTTGAATCTAGCTTGGGCTGTTGAAATATGTTATTCGAGCAGTGAAGTTTCGATAGCCCACTCAGAATCTACTGTGTCCCCCTAATTTTCCGTCACTCGCGTGTGACCCCTTAGAAACATGAAAATTGATGCTTGAAAAATATAAAACAATAATATAAACATATCTATGATATACAGAAAGGAGAAAGTTGTAAAACACAACCAATCATTTACGAAATTTTGTTTGTTTGTTGTTCAGTGCAAAGCGACACAATGGGCTATCTGTGCTGTGCACCAAAGGTATCGAAACCCAGTTTTTGGCGTTTCAAGTCCGCAAACTTACCGCTGTGTAACTAATGGGCTCTTTAAAACTGCTTGAATTAAACTAAATCTTTGGTTATTTTTTCATTTGCAACAAAAGTATTCGTTTTGGAATGATAATTGGCTAAAATTCATTTTAATATCTGGTTACACAATTTTAACTAGAATTTATATAAAGTAAAAACATGATTTATTCTATTTGAATAAAGATCTTAAAGTATAATAGTAAATACTTACTAGAATCGATTTGAATTAGTTTGTAAATTTTCAAGTTAAATTTTCTTCAATAAATGATGAACTTTTTTTTTTTACTTTTCATAGTTCACTTCGAGGCTTCCAGCAGATTTTGCAAACAAAGTTGCTCTACTACTGGCCGGAGAGCTACCATGGCAAGACAAAGAACCTTACGGTAATGGATTTGTACAGAGAAAACGACAGATCCGGTACAATCAGTGTTACTTCAATCCAATTTCTTGCTTTCGAAAACGTAAATGAGCTTTTATTACCAACAAAGCCCAGGCTGAAAGGTTAAATTTATATCACGAAATGAGGAATACACTAATATATGTTATGTTAACTAAAGTAAACAGTATCATGTTGTTGAAAATGTTTGTAAAACCAATTATTTCAGTTTACACTTCAGAGAGTCTATTGACTTAATATTACAATATTGTTGTAAGTGTATAATAACACATAGTGCAATGGATATTAAATTAAAGTATGTTTAAGATAGCGTTTTAAAAATATATATATTATAAGAATAAACTTATCACAGTTATGTGTTTCTCTGTAGTAGATTAAGTGGGTTCAAATAAAAAAAATTATAATAAATTATAAACTTCCTAATTATTAGATATTCTATCTAAAGTTATCGATTTCATTTGCGAAGATACGAGAATAAATTTGAATATTATACTTTAAGTGTATAATATAGATAAAATTGTCATAAGGGCTCAACACGTGTGCAAATGCAAAACTGTTGAGATATTTGGAATCCAGAAAATTAATGACACAATTTTGACTCCCAAAACCAACTATATACTTTATAGTGTTCATGCAGGGTTTCAACTTTATAGTGTTCATGCAGGGTTTCAACTTTATAGTGTTCATGCAGGGTTTCAGTCGTGCAAATTATATATCTATGAAAAGTAGGAATTGCAAATATAGCACATTAAATAACACATTCGTTTAAGTAGCCATACAAAAAATAACACATTCGTTTAAGTAGCCATACAATTAAATAACACATTCGTTTAAGTAGCCATACAATTAAATAACACATTCGTTTAAGTAGCCATACAATTAAATAACACATTCGTTTAAGTAGCCATACAATTAAATAACACATTCGCTTAAGTAGTCATACAATTAAATAACACATTCGTTTAAGTAGCCATACAAAAAAATAACACATTCGTTTAAGTAGCCATACAATTAAATAACACATTCGTTTAAGTAGCCATACAATTAAATAACACATTCGTTTAAGTAGCCATACAATTAAATAACACATTCGTTTAAGTAGCCATACAATTAAATAACACATTCGTTTAAGTAGCCATACAAAAAAATTAACAACCTATATTGTTAGTATCACTGTCCTTTAGCAAACATCCAAACAGTTACATCTTTACCTATACTTCCAGCTCTGTGTTAATCAGGAAACTCTAGGGAACAAACTCCCATGAAACACCTGTCACCTGTATCAGGTTGAAACCAGAGTATGGATTAAAATCCTCTTTCAGATAAATCTACATTTTTTTCACTATTTTATGTTTGTGTGTGTGTGTGTCATCTGAACGATATGCTGCGTAGGGAGGAATTAGTAACAAAAAGGACGCCGCTACACATTACAGTCCAGTAACGTTAAATTTTCCTTACCTTTACTAGAAAATATCTGTGTATTGTTCATAGGCTATTCATCCGAACAATAAATAAATACATATTTGTTAGAAAACAATGCTCAAACCGTGCATTGTTCATATTTTCAATAGCAAAACAAAAAATAAAGGATTTTTTTTCGAAAGTATTATTCAAGGGTGCTAGTTGTGGAGAATTTTTAGCGCAATTATTGAAAGTAAGAACAAATTGTATATTAGATTAATGATACTCGAACAAGATGCTGTTCAACCCAGTTGTACTTATGTGGTTCATAACATATTTAATGAGAAAAAAAAAATATTTTTATGGTAGGTTAACACTCAAACTGGTCATTACTTAACTCACTCTATTTATTAAATATTTATTTCTTTTTGTTTTCTGGGTGTACTAAATTATCTTATTAAGAATCAACGTATACATGCACATGTCCACATAGTTCATCGTTCATGACTCGTTACTGTAAAAGCTATTTTACACTTTAAGCCCGCGAGTGCGTTATAGCAGTGATGACTATATCCCACTATTTGGTCAGAAAATAGTAAGCCAATAATAGGCGGTGGGTACTACTGATTAGCTGCCTTCCATCCAGTATATCAATTTAAAATTAGGGACGGTTAATGTAGCTTTACGAGAAAATCTGAAACGAGCTAAAAATAAAAAAAGAGGAATTTTTTCCCCTTAACACAACCAGATAACGAAGATATTGAGAACATGAAGCAATGATCTTGGAATATGTTAGTATTTATATATATAAAAAAACAAACTTAAAGGACATTTGTTACACCTTTGCAACTCCTTCGCGATCCCCCATGGGATTGCGACCCCAATTTCAGAACACCTGGTTTAAAAAAGTATTTGTTTTTAAATACAATAAAGATAATTTATATGATAAGGTGTTTCAGATTCATTTGTTTCAAAACCTATGTTGATTTATTTATATCGAGAATACCAGTAATAAAACATTTTATGAATTAATTTACACTATTATTTAAGTACACACAAATCTATATATTTTGTGTGTGGATCATAAAATCTTTGTTTTAAATATATTGCATATTATCAATTCAAAACTGACTTTAAAATAGGAAGTTTTTATAGAAAGTTTTACTCTACTGAAGAATTCAGAAAAAAGGTTATAAATCCACACATAGTAACATTTGTAAACGCTACAGAACAACCTTATTTTGATAGAACAGTCAAGTTTACAATTTTTTTTTGCTTTTAGCAACACTAACAAACAATATTTAAACTACTATCAAATTGGCAGGACTGTTGATACTGCGACGTTCAAGATATTGATTCTTAATGGAAAGTTTAAACTGCTGTAAAAATATAAAATAGCTTTTTATTCTTTACAATCTGTCAAGCTTAAATCTCATATTTACGTTATACGGTACGATCGGAAAAGGTTTCAAATAAGGTCGATGTCAGGTTTTATGTATGCACCAGATTCTTTACAGTAGGTGTCTGTGTCTTGTTGCCGATAAATTTCAACAATTAACAAACAGCATACAGTTCACTTATTTTAAGCTAATATATTGAAATAAGTCAAACGTATATACAAATATTCGTTACACTGTTGGTTATCACAGTTGTATCCGGAGTTTTTAATTATTGTGCCTTTTTCGTCAAGGTACATACAGGCTTGTTCAGTTATTTTAGAACACAATTTGACGAGACAAATTATTCTTTTTGCTCTGTTATTAAAATACAGCTTGTGATAATTTCACTTTAAAAATGCCACTATATGCTCTTTATTGATAAACTCACAATCACGCAGTCTAGATCTATCTATCTAACTAAATTTTCGACGCGTACTTATATTCCGACAGAGGTCTAGAACGTTCCACACGCTACTAGATATTATGATGCAATAATACTCAATTAAAACAAGGAGAAAAACTCAGAAGGTTCTAGTAATATGACGCAATAATATAACAATCACCAATTCATAACTGTTGAACCACACAACCTATGATTCGTAAACAAACTTCCGATAAACTATCGCTTCCAAAGATAACTAAATATAACATTCGCGCTATATAATCTATCCAAATCCTAACACTCGCATTACACTGAAACTAAAACAGTCGTGTATATTTAGTTATCTTTGGAAGAGATAGTTAAAGCGCTCGATTCGGAGTTTGCGGGGTGCAGGATCAAATCCCTTCTTTGAACATCCTCGCTTCTTTTAGCCGTCAGCGTGTTATAAGGTGACGGTCAATCCCATTATTCGTTGGTAAAAGAGTAGTCCAAGAGTTGGCGGTGAATGATATTGAATTCCTCTAGCCTGACACTTCAAGATAGGGCCGGCTAGAGCTGATAAGCCTCAAATAACTTTGTGTAAAATTCAACAAAGAAACAAAATTATGATGTTTCATTTAACTTGTTACATCAATAGGAGCTTCGGAGTACTATATTGAAACACCTTACTTTTTATAGCGCTTCGCTCAGTCACAGCTAAATACCGGTAAATACTTTACCTGGTGTTACTCAGCTACAAGATGAGCTCTTTTATTAAGAGAAAGGTTAGGTTAGGTGTGAATTTGGCTGATGTTACTCATCGAAAAGATGAGGTCTTGTATTGAAGGATGTGTCACGTTTGGTGCGACTTTGGCTGATGTTACTCGCCTAAAAGATGAGGTCTTGTATTGAAGGAAATGTCACGTTTGGTGCGACTTTGGCTGGTGTTACTCAGCTACAAGATGAGCTCTATTATTAAGGGAAAGGTTACTTTAAGTGTGAATTTGCCTGGTATTACTCAGCTACAAGATGAGCTCTATTATTAAGGGAAAGGTTACGTTAGGTGTGAATTTGGCTGGTGTTACTCAGCTACAAGATGAGCTCTATTATTAAGGGAAAGGTTACTTTAAGTGTGAATTTGGCTGGTGTTACTCAGCTACCAGATGAGCTCTATTATTAAGGGAAAGGTTACTTTAAGTGTGAATTTGGCTGATGTTACTCACCTACAAGATGAGCTCTATTATTAAGGGAAAAGTTACTTTAAGTGTGAATTTGGCTGATGTTACTCAGCTACAAGATGAGCTCTATTATTAAGGGAAAGGTTACTTTAAGTGTGAATTTGGCTGATGTTACTCACCTACAAGATGAGGTCTTGTATTGAGGGAAAGGTTACGTTAGGTGTGAATTTGGCTGGCGTTACCCACTTACAAGATTAAATACAACAATTAACCTAAAACTACTGTTCGAATATAACAATGCCGCGTATTTAAGAATTTCAACATCATTGTTACAATATATATCCCTTCTCACTAGACTGTGGAACATGGAATGTTTTATTGCCGTTTCTATAGTTGGAAGGAATTTAACTTAGTTGTTACATTTCAGTTCTACTTACATTGTTTATGACCCCATCCTTACCATATACATGAGTAAATAATAATAATTACAGGAAGATTTACATTCTAGTCTGCCACTACAGTAAAAAATATAGGCAATGTTGTTTTTTTTTGAATAATTGGATGTAATTAGAACATGTTAAGTGTGATGAGTAGCTGAAACATCAATATTGTATTGTGGTACCAACATTAACGTTTCTTTCAAACTAACTTTTGAATTACAAAAACAAAACATTTTTCTTTTATAGCATAGACTTTACTAAAGTTTACGAAACCAATGAAATCACAATAAGTATTATAACACTACGCATATACTTATAAAAGAATTTATTTCATATATTTAAATCTTCTGGCTTCAGGTCTACCAAATCTTTCCCACGTAAGTGTTCAGGAGCCGCGCAGAATCCCCATAAGTGTTTGGGAAAATCTAAGTCCAATATCCATCGCAGCTTCTTGTCACATGCCAAGGGATTGTCTGAAAAGTAAAAAAAAAATCTGTGGAAAGTTTGAATTATAAAACTTAAACAACATAGCATGACAACCTGATCAAGTGTGATGGGTTATATTTATATTATTAATTCATAATTTTAATAAACATTTTATGTGTATAATAATGAAATAACATCATTAATTACCAGAATTATTGTAATATTATAAATGATAACGAGTTTGTGGTGCTTCTAACTCCCGTTTTAAGCTTTAACTTTGTCAAATAGAATATCAATGGAACTGATTTTGGTTTTATATTCTATAAGTTCTTAGCTTTTAAATAATAAAAGCTAATAGAGTATAATACAATATTTATATGTGGATGTAATGAATCTTTTTTTAACTTAAAATCATTTTTGTTCTGAGAGGAATACAAACTATGTAAGAAATCTTAACAGAAAGAAATTTTTGTTTTATGACTAAGCCACTAGGGCTATCTGCTGCTGTCCCTAACTTTGAATTGTCGACCACAAGGAAGGCAATCTGCCGGCAATACCTACCGTCAACTCTTGGGCTACGCTTTACCAACGAATCTCTATTGACCGTCACATTATAATGTCCCTACGGCCGGAAGTGTGAGTATTTTCGGCGCCGGGTTTAGATCCCGTGACCCAAAGATTATTAGTCGAATTCCCTAACCACCAGTCCATGTCAGTAAGAACAAGACATTTATGTGTTGAAAGTTATGAAATAAGAATCTAATTTTTGTAAAAATTCATGTTGGGAACTGGGGTATTAAAATACTGTTATAACTGTGCAATGTTAAACGTTGTATACAGTTTTTCAAGCCTTTTTGCAAAATATGCCGTATTTCAAACTAAACAACCATCGATTGATTACCTCTTGGCAGTTTTAATTAGCGGTATCAAAACTTTCCTTACTCAAACTTTCAATTCTTTCAGAACATGTTTGGCATCTTAAACGTTACTCAAAGGATTTTCACAGATTAATTAATTAAAATCTAATTAAAACCACGACGCTTTATCATGTGACCTAAGATCACACACAGTATAATAATAGAATTATTTTCCAAGATCACTTCAGTTAAGAATAAAATATGTAAAAACGAAGCATTTGAAACAACAATAAAGTGCATATTGACTGTTGAAATGAAACTAATAACATTACTCTTACTCATAATGAAAATCTAATCAAAGACATTCATTATTTCTGTACTTGTATTAGAAAATGTTATTAAACCGATTTTTTTCTCAGTAAGTTTATATTATTTAACAGAGAGAAAAAAAACACATACACAAAACCCTTTATGAAATCATTGGGTTTTACAAACTTTTATATCATGATATAATAAACGTGTCTTCTCGGTAAAAAAAAAAAAATGTTTTCGGAGATTTGAGGAATATATGAAAACCGAGGCCATGCTTTTATGATCGTACCTTCTACCCACACAGTCACCAGCTGCTTCCACACTGGTTTCCAAGTTTTTTCCTCTAAACTCACGATGTTGTTATTTGTTATATAGATCTCCTCTAAACTCAGCATGGTAGTAAAGATGTCAGGGGGAAGAACACTGATCTGGTTGTCACTGAACATTGAAAATAGATAGAGGCTCATGAGAAGACATCCTGGCTTTGTGATGTTAAAATATTTCGATGTTTCATTGATACTTGTTACTATAACGATTGAAAAAGTCTTACTATCTATCTATCAATATATATATATATATATTGCACTGAATGAGGTATCGTTAAAAAGATAATATTCACAATATTAAATTTAAAAAATGGCGTCCGGTTCAAATTTCACCACAATTTCAACGTTTCAAGTCATAGAGATAGTATGATTTTCTAGTATATATAACATAAATCTATCAGTAGAGAGTAATGATTTTCAGGTCTTTACAACATAGCTTTGAGTACAGAAAGAAAAATAACTATAATTTGTTTTGCTATAAAATCCTATAAGAATGCTGTTTAATTCTTATATGTTATAGCAACTTGAATGCGGATCAACTACTGATATGTTTATTTTAACAGAGCTATTTGCAGTAAAGACCAGTAAATTATCGACATCATTCAAAGTTTTAACATGAAGGAAATGGACAACAAAAAGAAATAAATAAAACGAATTAGATTTAACTAGTGAAAATCAAGCCCAAATTACAATTTTATGCAATAGAAATAAGTTAACATTATCATTACACCACTAACAGAAGTTATTATTTCAAAATATATGCTTCAAAGAACATTAGATCGTTTTGCTGCAACTGGTAATTAAAAATCTAATCATAGAAAGGGTCGTCCAATAAAACAGTCTGAAGGGAGGAAAGTGACATTTGAAGAAAGTCAATATTCAATTATCTTTAAACACTCCAGAAGTAAGTGCAGAACTACAAATTATGCAGAAAAGTTTCTTAGCAATAGAACGATGAAAGAAAATGATCTCGTGGAAAAGTTATAGTCTGATATTTCAATGTGAGCATGCTTAAGTGGAAGAACACACGGAACAATGTGCAATGAACTGGCAAAACAAAGACTGAGCTTTCTGGAAATTCCAGCAAAGTTTCTGTGAGGAGTCTGATGATAAGAAGTTTAAGCAAGAGTTTGTAAGTGAAACTGTGAAACGTTGTGCTGAATTTCTAATAATGTGGAGATATTTTTCCTTTCCAAGAGTGGGAGTTATTGTCAAATTAATGACATTATGAGGAAGGAGCAGTATCATAGCATTTTATTTTATTTGAGAGGTAAACATCTCTATTTTTTATGTTATCAGGATAATGAGCTAGGACTTAATGACCTGCTGAATAAGAGGTATCTGAGGGAGAATGAAAAAAAGCTCATGGTGTAAAAGTTAAGAAATAGCTAACACGCCCTACCGATGCTAATGCAAGTGAAAAGCAAAAAATGAGCGAAATGAAGTAACAGTAAAGTACAGACTCAACCAAGTGGTTGTTTGATATTATCACACAGTTAAAGCTAGAGTAAAGCCTATGCTAACGTGGATATCTGTTTCTTGAATTGATACGCAAAGCTACTCGAGGGCTATTTGCGCTAGCCAACCCTAATTTTGAAGCATTAGATAGAGGGAAGGCAGTTAATCAACACCACTCACTGTCAACTTTTTGGCTACTTTTTTACCAACGAATAGAGGGATTGGGTGTCACATTATAACGGTCCCATGGCTGAAAAAGCGAGCATGTTCAGCAACGAGTTTTGATCCACGACCCACAGGTTGCGAGTCGAGCATTCTAATCACCACGTCATGCCAAGTCTCCCGGTTTCTGGTATCTGGAACAATACACAATACTACGGACAGCAGTTTCTTGTATGTGGACCAATATAAAATATCGTGAATGTCGGTTTCTTGTATCTGCACTATTACACAATACCGTGGTTATCGGTTTCTTGTATATGGACTAATACACACACAAACGCCCACACAGTTGTGTGTATATATGTGTGTGTGTGTGTGTGTGTATTTTATTATCTTCTGTTTTCTAATGAGTTGTTTTGAAAACAGTGATTGAAAACAATTTCACTTTAATAGATTTCTAACAAATTGATTAGAGAAATCTAAGTATATTTATATAAGCTTTATGGCACTGAAGTTTTCATCTTTTTTGTTTCAAAAGTAGTATTAACGAATCTAAAATATTTCTTAGTTGTGTGCAGTTTAACATATAAGGATAAAAATACTACATTTATGGCATTCTATTTTATGGAAGCAATGGGTATTTTTGAATTCGATAGTTGTATGCTGTTGACGATAGTTGTATGCTGTTGACGATAGTTGTATGCCGTTGATGACAGTTGTATGCCGTTGACGACAGTTGTATGCTGTTGACGATACTTGTATGCTGATGACGACAGTTGTATGCTGTTGACGATAGTTGTATGCTGTTGACGACAGTTATATGCTGTTGACGACAATTGTATGCCGTTGACGACAGTTGTATGCTATTGACGATAGTTGTATGCTGTTGACGACAGTTGTATGCTGTTGACGATAGTTGTATGCTGTTTACGACAGTTGTATGCTGTTGACGACAGTTGTATGCTGTTGACGATAGTTGTATGCTATTGACGATAGTTGTATGCTGTTGACGACAGTTGTATGCTGTTGACGATAGTTATATGCTGCTAACGACAGTTGTATGCTGTTGACGATAGTTATATGCTGTTGACGATAGTTGTATGCTGTTGACTTTACCTGTGCTATCGATTTCTCACTATTCTGTACGGTTTTTGATATTGTTCAAAACGGTAGTATCGTATTTCATTAGGGTTTTAAACAACTTGGCTCAGTTTCGCAGGTAACATTAACTTAGACCATAAGTCACTTAAAAAGATAAAGTCTCGCTTAAAAAAGCAAGAAAAATAAAGACTAATATGAACTGAGTTAAAATAAAATGACTTGGAATTTTAAAAGTAATGCTGTTGCTTATTAGAGCCATTTGTTTGCTTCTTCTTACAGACTTTATTTAATTCTAATCATTTTCGTCTGCTCAGCCGACCTAACGATCCTCGATCGCTCGTACGCACTCACCGATCACAACCTTGTAAAACAAATTTGGCAGCGTTAGATATAGAATCTAGTTTTGACATCCAAGTGTTCTTTGAATCAAACGAAGAGACACCTAGAAGATGGTTCTATGCGATCTGGCTAGAAAACGGGAAAGGGTTTCAGAGGAAGGACATCTTTAAATATTAAGAAGCTACGTAATTTTACTGTGGTTTGAAAGAACATAAGGTTCTAAGTTGATGTGTAAGTATGCCCATTAATTAATTGACCCTTTTCTTGATACAGTTCGTGATAACACATATTTGTATACAAAACAACTAATTAATTAACCTTTTTTCTTGATACAGTTCGTGATAACACATACTTGTATACAAAACAACGTAACAGTTTTTAAGGGCTATCACATGATGGTCGGTTATAGTGGTCGCATGTTTAATGAGTTTACTGAGTAAACGATTAATGAAGATCATTGGATGTTTGTCTCACTGTATAACACGTTTAATATATTTTACTTTCCCGGGAAACAAATCAATACTATCAAGATTGCCTATAATTTTGAGCAAAAACTTAGTAGTTTTGAAGTTAACTTATTTTGATAACAACAACAATATAAAAAAAGATTAACATTACCTTAGGTCCAGAGTGTTGATATTGTTAGGAAACATACTTCGTGACACCAAAGAAATATAGTTTCTTTGAAGGCTTAATATCCTTAGGTTTACAAGGTCAGAGAAACTCGTCTCACCAATGCTCGTGATGGCATTATTTACTAACTCAACCTCATTTAATAAATATGGGCCACCCTTGAACCATCCATGAACCGTATCGATATTATTATAGACTATTTGAAGAAATTTCAAATTCTCCAGGTGAGAAAATGATATTTTTCCAGAACCTTTTTGGAAGCTTTTATAAACGTAAACTTCTTCCAATGTGTTGGAGTTGCCTTCTAAAAAAGGAATGTCTTCTTCGGACACAGGATTCAGTTCCACTTTGTCTAAAGCAAGGTAGCTTATATTAGTTCCTTCAAAGATGTCTTTAGGCAACCTGCGTAAGGAAGATTCTGTAATTACAAGTTCTTCTATCGGGCCATACTGTGGAATATTTCGTCGCAGATGCTCGATTTCCAGAGACGAAGAGATATTAGTACAATATATTTTTAAGCCTTTAAACCCAATGTCACAGAAGCAAGGTTCTACTTCTTCCCAAGAAGGACAAACGCTCAGGGACGCCACTTCTATGGTTTCTGTTAGAAAACTAAGACCAAAACAGCAAGTAACGAAACCAAAGTACCTCTTCATGCTTAAGTAGAAGAGAATAATTAAATTAGTATCATAACATAAGATAAATAAAAAATGTAATAAATGATACGAAACTGTGCCGGAAAAGATATAATAACCTGGATTAGATAGATATGTAGAAAATAGTTAAAAGAAGCGTTTATATTTTAGCAGCCAAAACTGTGCATTGAATCTGATTTTTTGCGTATTCAAATAAAAAAGCTATGTATTAAAATAACCACAGACTGTGTTAATAACAACATCAAAACTTAACACAACAAAGAATAATTTCGATTGTTTTTACACAGAAATGGTGAGCTATGAAGTCGAATCTTGTCTGTTTAGTTGTTCAGTTTATAGCATATTTAGCTTGATTTACAGTTCGCAGTAAATTGGCTTTCAACTTAATTAAAGATAAGACTCTGATGTTTTATGTAACATTTAACGCTATATTGCTTACTTTGAGTTTGCTCCACCCAGTCTACGTTCTTATGTCTAACGTTACTTAGTGACAGTGGCATTTTTTGTATATTTTATCACATGCGACCTATAGAAATAGAAACATGTGGTATGTTTCTCATGGACTGAGCCACGTGTATAAATTACACTGTCACGCATCAACGTAATATTTGTTAGCCACCATTTACGAAAGACTTTCCATCTTAGTACCTACTCAATTCCTTTGCCCGTCAATTATAATTAGGTGATTCAAGTCGTTTTGTGGTTCTCTACTAAATTCATTCATTTTTGTTGTAGTGCTCTTATAAGTGTATCCAGTTTTTACTTTTTTACTACTGCCTGCAACAAACATTCCATATTCACATATGTAATCTATAAACTCTCAGAACCAATATTTTGTTCATAGTAGACCCTATTAGCTCAGCTGTAAGTTTGAGGGTTAATAACACTGAAATTATGGGGTCGATCCTCACGGTGGTCACAATACAGATAGCCCATTCTTAACAACAAAGAATGAGATAAAATGTTCATAGCTATTTATTTATATTTTGTATAGTATCGTGATAATATATATTTATACAAAAAAGTAACACTTTTATAAACGGAAACCATATGACTGATTGATGAGGGAGATAGTGTGTGTTTAATGAGTTTACTGATGAACGAAGATCACTGTATGGTTGCTCTACTATGCTATACGTTTGATATATTTTTACCTTCTCGTGAAACTGAATTTCTTCAGATACAGGATCCAGTTTCACTTTGTCTAAAGCTTGCAATAATTCTCTCAAATATGCCATCAGGCAACCTGCGTAAGGAAGATTCTGTTATTACAAGTTCTTTTATTGGTCTGTGCTTTAGATATTCCGCTGTAAGTGCTCGATTTCAAGCGACGAAAATTATAAATAACAAAATAATCGTTTTATACCTTAACCTATACAGTCTCAGTACCAAAATGCAACTTTTATTTATTTATTTTTGCACGGTATCCTGTTTGTAACTCATCTCTGTAAAACACAGAGTGTTGTGGAACACCACGTACTCGACCATGTTTATAGACGTTCAGATGCTCTCTACAACAGCTATTGTGAACAATGTAACCCGAAACTTTCAAAGTCATGCGCTATTCCAAAGAAGTTACTATACTCAACTTGCTCATATAAACCAGAGATCTCATTTATAGCTTGAATTTTTCCGTTCACTTAACGCCTCAGTAACTAATGAAAACGCGCTTGAAAGAATGAAACTGAAAACATTTATCCTTAAATAAAATCCATTGTTTTCAATAAATAACAAAAACATAAGTCATAGGAATAGAAAATAATGAGAAAATTGTTACTAAGTGGTACTTATTATTTCTAAATCCTTTCTACAAATAACGCAGAGGTCTAAATAAAATGTGAATGAAAACATAAAGAATATAGAAATATGTTTTTTTTAATATAAAGTTGCCCCCCAGTGGCACAGCGGTATGTCTGCGGACTTACAACGCTAGAAACCGAGTTTCGATACCCGTGGTGGGCAGAGCACAGATAGCCCATTGTGTAGCTTTGTGCATAACTACAAACAAACTAATATAAAGTTGACTATATGTTACGTCACCTGTTGGACACTTCCATAACTTCACACTAAATATACTTAAATTTGAAACCCAAGTTGAAAATAGACAGAAAAGTAATATTGAAATTTTTGGAACACTACATCAGTTCATGGAAATCTCATTTGAAAAGCAGATTTAAATTTTTAAACGGCGCATATATGTTTGAAGTTTAAATGAAGTATATCTTTGTGAAATGGAGTTTATGAAAATTTGCATCATTTTACGGATAAACAAAAAAATTATATAAGTTACAAAATTAACTTTAACATTAAAGACGTCGCTATTAATGCACAACTTGCAGGTTTGTAATTTAATGTATTTCTTTTTTCTAACAAATATAAATGCTTAGCCATGCATCATATATATTTGAAAGACATAATTTCCCTGTTATGAAAGGTAATTGAAATAAATTGTATTTAATGTTGTACAATTTTGTAATTTGGTTTTTACTTTTGTTATTTTTTTTGGTATTTATAAGCATCATAAACATGTTTCTTGAAAATAATTTCCAGTAAGTTAAGTCATCTCATAACAACATACTGTGAACAGTAAATTCTGATGTCCAGTTACATTACACCGTAAAACTAAAACCAGTAAATTTAGATATCTAGCTATATTAAACCGTAAAAACTAAAATCAGTAAATTCAGATGTCTGGTTACGTTGCAACATGAAACTGAAACCAATAAATTCGGGTATTTGATTACATTACTCCATTAAATTGAAACCATTAAATTCAGATGCCTAGTTACATTACATCGTGAGATTAAAACCAATAAATTCAAATATCTAGTGACATTACATTGTGAAGCTGAAACCAATAAACCCAGATGTCTAGTTACATTACATTGCGAACTTAAAACCAATAAATTCGGGTATTTCATTACATTACTCCATTAAATTGAAACCATTAAATTCAGATGCCTAGTTACATTACATCGTGAGATTAAAACCAATAAATTCAGATGCCTGGCTAAATTACACCGTGAGATTAAAACCAATAAATTCAGATGTCTGGTTACACTACGCCATTAAGTTGAAACCAATAAATTCAGATGCCTGGCTAAATTACATCGTGAGATTAAAACCAATAAATTCAGATGCCTGGCTAAATTACATCGTGAGATTAAAACCAATAAATTCAGATGTCTTGTTACATTACACCACGAAATGAAAACCAGTAAATTTAGATATTTGATTACATTACGCTATTAAAGTGAAACCAATAAATTCAGATGTCTGGTTACATTATACCATGAAATTAAAACCACTAACTTCAGGTATCTGGTTACATTGCATCGTGAAGTTGAAACGAGTAAGCTTAGATTTCTCGGATTCATTTTATGATACGGTATCAGTTAATTACGTTTTCACTAATGACATTTTTTTCTGTTTACCACTGTACATCAGAGTTAATCTAAATTGTGTGAATAAAAGCAACGGAATTAATGCCCTAAATGTTATGGTTCTGGCACTGTTAACATATATCGTTGGATAAACTGTTAAAACTTAGTGAACGTTTTTTTGTTTGCTCAGAGTTGAAGTCGATTTTGAACCAAACATTATGTGTACTTATCGATAATCAAATATAAAATCAATAAATCATTATAATATAGATTCCCCTTCTCATTATATCAAATCTAATGAATACGTTGTTTTTCTAATATATAAAGAGAAATTCGTTTTATTTATTTTATAATAACACTCTCCGTAGATTATGATGGCTACACTACGCTTGTTTAATGGTGTTTATCTAACGAACAATTAGATAATAATGCTTCGTTGTCGTAATATTAAGAATTATTGGACAATATCTTATAAACCTAATAAATCAAGGGGGATGTAAGTAATCTTATTGTTGCTTGTTTTTCCTGGTGGTGAACAAAGTATTCATACCACTTACATATTGTTACGACTAGCTATTACTCTGTATAACATTATAAAAGTATATATATATTTTTACCAGCATGGAATTACAAAACGTTCTGTTTCTACACTCCCTCACGTAAAATTAAAAACATTTAATGACAAATATAAACTAAGCATATCTTTGTCAAAGAAATAAAATTAAGTTTCGATGGTCAACAGGTCTATATGATAACGTCTTTAATTTGATTAAATGTATCAACTAAATTACGTAATCAAACACGGTATGTATGTGTATGTAAAAAATAAAATAATAATACATTAGTAGACACTGAGATCATCACCTGCTGGATCGGATTCTTAGGTCTGATTTTGTTGGACTCGGGAGGGTCAAGTACACTCGACCCCCACACCGCCAGTAGATTTTTGCTCTTTTACTTTTGTTATTTTATTGCTGTGTCAGATGTTTTCCTTCTAAGATGGTTTTTGGTACTTTTTATTGTTTAAAGCTTCTGCGTTTTGGTAGTGTAGTTTGGTCGAGTTTACTTTACAAGATGTTTCCACGGGCTTCGCGCTAATGATGTTGTGTCCAGTTTGCTGAGTATTTATTTACTACACATATAATTTTTCCGGTGATACTTCCCATACCTAAACAATGCTAGATTTAGTTATTTAGCTTCAGCAAAAATATAATTATTGGAGAACTTAACAGTAAAAATATCAGTTTTGGCTGCAGAGTAACAAATACAAATGGAAGACGTCTTCTAGATTTTATGGAAGATACAGACATATTTGTACTAACTGATACAACACCCACACATACCAGTAATTGTTATCATACCAGTGACATACTGGATCTCTGTATGTGCTCCACATCTGTTCTTCCATTTTTTATTTCATTCAATGTGGGTGAAGACGAAGACAGCGACCATTTACTGCATCAAATCCAAACAACCAAAATACAATTATAACAAAGTTGATTGGCTAAAGTATCAAGAAGAATTAAATGTATTTCTTCAAAACAAACCTTTCCAAGAAGCAAAAACCAAACAAGAAACAAACTGCTACTGCTAAACAATTTTGGAGAGCCTCATAAACACAGCAGAAAAATTCATTCCAAAAAATTAAAAACTACAACCATTACACAACATGGAACCACACAAGCTACTAACAAACAAAATATAAAAACGCAGAAAAGTAAGACGAAAATATGTGATCACAAGAGATCACGAAACAAAACTAAGATCAATACACTAAGACATCAAATCAGAAATGAAATAAAACAATTAAAATCATAAAACTGGGACAACTACTGTTCACAATTAAACACAAAAACAGATTCTAAATAGTTTTAGACACATATAAAAAGGATAACTAAAAATAACAGAACAAACACACAATCATATCCAACGCTCAAGCAGAATAAGTTCTTTTAACGAACAACCACAAAAATGTTTTAAAACACCAGACGAACAAAAACCACTTTCTTAACATATTAAA